TTATTAGAAACAGCTAATTAAAACAGGAAAAACTGTCAAATATAAGGTTTTAAAATGTAGGAAAAGCTATAAACAGCACACATCTTATTGAACTTAATCTGCATTAAGTGCCTATTTTGTTCAAACAACATTTTGGATTTTTTAAATAATCATAAGAACACACCATGCATAATTGATCATAAAACTGAACGTGCCCAGGATGGCTTTGTTTAAAAGTATACTAAAATGGCCCAGGCATGGTAGCCCATGCCTGTAATTTCAGCACTTTGGGAGGCCGAGGCAAGAGGATAGCTTGAGGCTAGGAGTTTGAGACCAGCCTGAGCAACACTGTGAGACCCCATCTCTACAAAAAAATTTTTAAAAATCAGCTGGGCATGGCATGAACGTGTAGTTACAGCTACTCGGGAGGCTGAGGCAGGAGGATCACTGGAGCCCAGGAGTTTGAGGCCACAGTGAGCTATGACGATGCCAGGCACTCCAGCCCAGAAAATAGAGTGAGACCCTCTCTCACAAAAAACGCCCCCAAAACGAAATGGACACAGAAAGTAAAGAGCTTGACTACAATTACAGTTGACCTTAAAATAACTATGAAAACCATCCCCTCCCCTATTTAAACACCTTGACCAAAGACTTATGGCTAAATTCTGTTTTTGAACAGAAAAATGAGTCTATGTTAGAGAAGCTAAATCCCAACACAGAAAACATTCAGCACCACCTCCCAAATCATTCCCAAACTAACAGCCGATCTTAATTCCCCGGGGAGACAGAGAGATAAAACGCTCAGCTGGCGACAAGGACTGGGCGATGTGATAAAAAAATAATGTATCAATTAGAGATCATCACAGGGAGCTAAGGATTCTTCAATAGGAGAGACGCTAAAAATAGAATCCGCCCCATCGACGGCTTAGGGAAAAATCTTATGATCATTTAAAAATACCGAAAAGGCATTTGAGAAAATTCACTACCACCTCCTAAGACAAAACTGAACAAAGGGAATGCAAAAATATTTCTCCAACATGCTGAAGAGGGTTCTAAAATAAGAGCTGGTATTAATATCATAATTAGTAGAGAAATACTAGAGAGATGCTTGAAAATCAGAAGCGAAACACGCACGCCTGGCCCGGCCCAATCACGGTGTTCTAGAATTTGGAGAAAAGGCAACGGGACGTGGGGGAAAACCAGAGGAAACACGTTAGACATGCACAGATGACGCCACCAGGTAACAATGACGCCACGGTGGCGTCTCAGCGACAACTAGAATCAATCAATCAACTAGAATCAAGGAAAGCATGCAAGATAAAATCAATGAGCTGTATTTCTACAAAAACCAGTTAGAAAACACACACAAAAAAGAAATGCCAACCATTGCTGTGACAACCTACCGTCACGACGGCCACTAAAAACCCACCAAAGACCACCCTGACATGCTATGTGTGTGACTTCCGAGAGCCAATCTCTAGAACTGGTCTAGCAGACACCTCCCCTCGATGGAGAACGGTGTCACCCTCCCGAAAAGTCTGACCCAAGACCAAGACGCACCCACGGGCGTCCGCAACACCGGGCGACGACAGCGCCGGAAGCGGCCCACTCCCAGATGAGAAGAGTGAGGCTCGAGGGGGCGGTTTCAAGTGTGCAGAGTCACCGTGGCACGTGGTGACCTCGCACGGCCCGTCAGGAGCAGAGCTGGGGCCGACACCCTTGTCCGGGTGACTCGGGGGCTGGGACCTTTCCACGCTCCCTCCCGCCCACTGCCCGCCCTGGTACTTCAGGATGCCACACGACCTTCCACCAAGGACAACCGCAGGGAGTCTCCCCCGGTGTGAAAAGACACTTTAAAACAGCAGGACTCAGAACAGCGGGACGCCAGGGCAGGCGCGGAGACGTGGCCTGGGGGCGGCTCGGCTGAGGCGCCGCCGTTTTCGGACACACGGCAAGAAGGGGATTCTCTGACACGGCGCGGGCAGGAACCGCGCAGCAACGGAAGATCCCCGTATCCGGGCGTACCATCGGAGCCTGATGACACAAACCAGCCGTCGCCTTTGCTCTGTGCCAGGCCCCCGCTAAAGAGCTTAGAGGCCCGACTTCATTCGTTCCTCTCAAGGACTCTAGAAGGTAGATGTTCCCATTTCACGGATGGGGAAACTGAGGCTCAGAAAGGGAAATGACTGTCTCGGGCCCTGCAGCCAGATCTGGCTGACTTTATTGGCTGAGCTCCCGGCCTCAGCCAGCAGACGGGCCAGGCTTTTCTGGGCTCCCATAGCTCAGGGCACTGGTGGGCTGCGGCCCTGGAGCACCTGTCTGTCCCTGGCCATGGCTCGCTCCCCGCCCCCTCCCCAGGGGCCTGGGCCTCTGGGCAGGCCTGGAGCCCCACGCTGCACCATACCTCTTAACACATCCCTGACTCAGTTTCCCTGCTCATCCCAGCCAGCGGCGATGGCTGTCTGGCTTTGACTCTGAGCTCACCTCCTGGAGCCTCTGTCCCCGCAGCTTGCAGTGGGGCCACCCTCAGGGCTGCCGTCAGGATCAAACGAGATACTGAGCATTGAGCACCCAGCGTGGGGCCTGCCCGTCCTAGGTCCTCCTCCAGGGCATCGACGCAGACAAGGGGTGACAAGGCTGTGGGCAGCCTGTGAGCCACATGAGAGTCCTGTCTCCAGAGCACGCAGCCTCCTCCCACCACTCTTCACAGCTCCGGCCTCACTGGATGCTCTCATGCGAGACACTGTCAGATTTCCGGGTCAAGTTCAGATGCTCGAACCCCTCCCTTCCCCCACTTCTGGTCTGCAGCCGGCCCCAGAAGGTACGGCACCCATCTGCGGACCCCGCAGGGCTCGGTGTGACTGCCACTGCCTTTCTAGGACCAAGCGTGACTCCAGGAAGGGGCCTTATGCACCCGACCAGGCATCGACTGTACAGAACCATTCACAAAGCTGCTCTACTCACTTCATAGTTTATCTCCGCTCCCTCGAGGAGGCCCCAAGCAAAGCCCACCCTGAGCCAGGCCCACCTAGAGCCTGTCACCCCAAATCCAGGCACCCTTGGGTAAGGATGCCCGGGAACCACGGCGGCATGCCCACACCCACCGACCTTCTTGGTGTAGCCCATGGCCTTCAGGACAGAGTGATTGAGGGTCTCCAGGGAGGCCAAGACATCCTCATAGTCCCCCATGTGGTCCACGAAGTAATCTGGGGGAGGGAGGGCAGAGGTCACGGGTCACAGGGGCATCCTGCCCCTCCTGCTGGGCCCTCCTGCTGGTCTAGCCTGTGCTCCCCAGTACCTCTCCCCTCCTCCCCAGCCCCACCCCTGCACCCCCATCTCAGTCCCTGCATAGCCAGGCACCTACCACACAGCTCCTTGGTGTCCACGTGGCTGCAGAGAGGAGGGAAAGGGGGAGAGAGAGAGATGACAGACAGACAGAGAGGGAGTCAGCATGCACAGCCCTGGCAGTCTGTAAACCGCGTGCCACACCTGCTCTCTTTTCACCCTGTGTGCCAGCAGCGTGAGCCCCACTTTACAGATGAGGGCCAGCAGGTAAATGTCACTCTCCGCAAGGACTGCGCAGGACCACGCGTGTCTGACCACCCCCACCCCCATTTCTCGTTTCTCCCCCAAGGTTGGCTGACCACATCGTGAACAGATGGCACCAAGGGTAGGGCTGAGCCGGGTCAGGAAAAGGGGACAGGGAGGGAAGGACAGTGGGGCCCCATGACTATTATGGGCTGTCAACAAAACTCATAGCTTTGCCCCACCCCTGGCATCCCTGCCTGCTGGGTCTGGGGGTTACACTCGGCTCCTACAGCATGGGGAAGGACCCTGTCATTTCTCAGGAGAAGAGGCCAAGCACGAAAACGGCCCCCACCACAGGGAAGGGGCGCACACGGCGTGAGATCAGGAGCGCTGTGCTGGCGCAGTGAACCGGGCAGTGACCACCGGCCCGTCTGGGCCCTGGCTCCCTCCTCTCAGGGAGGCCTGGAATAGCGTGTGCTCGCTGGAACCCAGGTTCGAGAGGCATCTGGATAGAAGGCTTCCAAGTGGCCAAATAAACCTGGGCTTTGCATGCTCTGTCTAGGAGGTTCCTCTATTTACATTTCACGTTCAGAGTCCTGACAAGTCGTGCAGAAAGCAGCCCTGTGATTTTGCTTAACCTAGCATTTCACAAATCTTTCTGATTCGTTGTTTTGTAAATTCTGTGGGCAGAAAGCCAATGAAGCATCCCAAGGAGCTAATGTCTGTAGCTCACGCTCTGGGGAATGTTGGAGAGAAGAACGCTAAAGGTCCTCAGAGCGGGACCTTCCCCGCCAGCGCAGGCGCCCCCCACCCACCCCCACACACACTCTCAAGGTTACACTTTCAAACCAGCACCCTGCTGGCCCAACACAAAGGCACCGAGTGAGACTGAATAAATCAGTGGGCTCCTGCCTTGGCCCCTTCAAAGCTCCCCAGGAGGCTTCAGGAATAGCTCAGAAACCTCCATCTGGCTCCAGAGACAAAGCCCTTGGCGCTGGAGGCTGCAGCCTGAAGCCATTTCTTCAAAGTGGACAAGGAAGCCTGCTCCGCCATCCTGGTCCCCAGCCAGCGCCTCCCAGGACACTCTGACCCCCAATTTCTGGTCCAGGCCACCGCCGTCCTGGGTCCCTTATAAACTGTCATGGTGGCAACTCCTTGTCCAGACCATCTCTAGCCAGTCTCAGGGGACCCCAAATTCTCAAATCTGCCTAAAGCAGCCCCCAGAAACTCCAGTCCCCATCACCTGCATCTGCCTGAGGAAGGTGACCAGGAGGGGCTGGGGAGGGGGCTAGACCCATCCTGTCCGGGGAATCCGGAGGAAGGGGATTGGAGGCGAGTTTGGGTAGAACGTGTATTCTGCACTTGATTTAGAGGTGGGTTGAGCCAGAGACGCTGGCTGATTCTGAGATGTAGGTCAGGCTATGACTGGTTTGCAGAAAAGGATTAATTAGAGACAGTGTAGCTTTCTGGTTAGAGTTAGGATTAGTATTGGTTAGTTGGTTAGGATGAGTATCGGTTCCAGTTTGGTTTAAAATGGGGTCAGTGTTACGGTGAGGCTCGACCACACAGTTCATGCTGGGACTGAGAGAAGGCATAGGCGCTGGGGTCAGAACTGGGCGGGGCGAGGTCATTGCCAACGTCCCATCTTCACTGTCCCACGTATACCGTGCCGTGAGTGCTCAGAAAAGACAAACTTGCAACAGCAGCCAACGCAACGTCAGTGTGCCCACCCCCACATCGCCCCGGGCAGCGAAGGCCGAATGGATCTGACTTCTGGATTCGCAAATTTGGGATTTTCAGGTCTCCCGCCCCCTACAGGGGACTGGAAAACGGAGGCTGGATGGGAAGGAAGACCCACAGGCCCACGCACACCCCTGCTCCGGCAGCCAGGGCTCAGGCTCACTTGGTGTTGTCAGAATCGATCGTGTCAAAGAGATCCTCGAGTTCTTTCTCGCTGAGGACGCCATCTGCAAAGAAGAGCTGGAATTCCTCCAAGGACAGCTTCCCATCATCTGCAAGGAAGGAAGACGGGCAAAGCGGCTGGTGTCTGCAGAGATAAGCCTGGCGGACTGGCGCATGCACGGCCCCCCGATCCAGGCAACTCCCCAATCAGCTAATCGACCCCGGCTCAGATAACCCCTGCCCACTCAGCCGACACCAACAGATAAACTCCATCTTAGATAATCCCTGCCCACCCAGCTAATTCCCGAATTAACCAGTAAACTCCAGTTCAGAGAATCGCTGACTCATCCAGCTAATTCCCCAACAGCAGACCGACGCCTACTTCCAGATAATCCCCAACCTCCAAATAATACGACAATAGCTAGTTCACTGGGGTGCACCGTGTACCAGACATTTTTCATGCATTCAACAAATAGAGAGTGTTTGCCGAGCAATCTTCTCTCCTTCAATTTACACGACCACCTGGAGGTGGGTGCTATGTAAGGCAGCCAGATTGCATTACAGTAATCGCCTAACGTAACACCACCGGTAAGAGGTAGATCCAAAGCCAGGCAGTCGCAGGAACCACTGCTCTGTTGCTTCCAAATGCCCAAGACGGTCTCCCCACGTCCCCTTCTCCAACCCCGGCACCTAAGCCCTGGCTCTGGGAGAAGGAATGACCCCCGTCTTCTGGGCCCCACCCACAAGGCAACTTTCAGGCCCTTCCCCGAGGCAGCTTCCGTGGGGCCTCACACGAGACACCTGCCGACGGTTGGCACAGAGCTCTCACTGGTACCTCCTCTGCCGGGCCACCGATGTGGCTGACGAGATGCCAAGCTATGAGGGAAGGAGGCGCCAGGCCTGGCCTGGGCCCAGCACCATCTGGCCCTCTGGAAGGGCCACAGGAAGGGCCCCACAGCCAACAGGTGCCACCTGTGCCAGCCACTCCCCTCCCTGCAGTTGCTCTGGGCACATGTATCTGCTGGGGACACTTGTGGCCCCGCCGAGGACGGTCTTGTGGGTTCGGGTCAGATTGGGCCACCGAGGGAGGTAGCTCAAGCAGAACATCAGTGAGTCTGGGAGAGGCAGTCCCCAAACTCCAGCCAGCCGGTGCCCCTGCCTGCCCTGCAGCCACCACCCCCTCCCTCCAGGATCTAAGCATGGTCCCTGCTCCTGCTTAAGGGACACTGTATCTGTGAGGGGCAGTGGAGGTCAGGGAGAAGGGGCGCCCGTGACATTTGCTGGCTTCCAGCCTCTACCCAGACCCCTTTCGTGATGTCAACGGAGTCTGCAATCAAAGCCGGTCCTTGGGACAAGGACCCCTGTGAGTCCACATGGCACCTTCCCGTGGATTAGGAAGAGATGCCCCTGCCTTCAGTGGGGGGCTGGAGCCCATCGTCAGGACACACGGGTTGGCACAGGAATGTAGCCGGGTTTGGAAGCCTTCCATTGCCTCAGGGGAGTGCCCTTGTGCAGGGCACAACCTGCCCAACCAGACATGGCAGACCCACTGGGTCCAGCGTGGAAGTCGTTCTCAAACTTCAAAGGCTCTGGTGCTCTGTCCCTGTCCCTGCTCAAAGCAGGGTGAGATCACATGCTCAGGAGAGGGGGGGTCCTCAGACTCGGCCACGGGTTCCCCCACCCACTTTCTCTCTGGCCCCTAAGCCGTAAGCTGTCAGGGGCTGGGGAGAGAGAAAATATGAACACGTGTGCGCATGGGGGACCAGGAACAGCCTCCCCATGTGCCCCCCGATATCCCAGCTCGAATCTCAGGGCCACAGAGGAAAAAGGAATTTCTTTCAAAAACAAGACCCAAAACCCCCAAACAACCCCCCCACCACCAACATAAAAGACCCAAAACCCAACCATCTTTGAAAAGTCCACAAATCAGCTGCCATATAGGTGAAATCCAAGCTGTCAACTCGTTGTATTCCGAGAGCGGGGACACGTCCCAAGTTTCTTCAGCAAGACTGAAACTAAAACCCGGGAATCACAGCGCAGGATGGTGGCAGACACGTGGGGTTCTTCCCGCGTATTCAATCCTTCAGTCTTCATAACACCCCATTTTAGAGAGTGGTAATCTGAGGCACGGGGTCATTAGGGGACTTGCCCGGGTCCTACAGTTGGAGACCGCCACCTACCCGGCACGTGGTGAGGGGCAGTCACCATGGGCCTGGCAGGCGAGTCCCGACCCCAGCCCCCCTCTGGCCACGTCACCTCCTCGTGCCTGCACGGGCACCGGGGCCCCCTCTGCACCCGGGGAGAGCAGCGGCCCGCCGGGCGCCCGATCACAAAGCCTTCCGGACGAACTTTGCCCCAAACGTCTGACCACAGGCCTCATGAACCCGCATCCCGTCGCGAGGGGAAACCTCCCCTGCCCAGGCCTCCGGCCCGATTCCACAAGCCGAGCCTGCCTGGCACTTCCGCCGCCGCAGATTCTAGCCGGGCCGTCCGCCAGTGTCCTTGCTAACGAGCACGAGCCCAGTCTCCGTGGTGGCGACCTTTCAAATGCCGAGAGCCTGTCGGTGTCCTGGAGGGACAGCTGTCTGGCACGCAGCCCTCTGCCACCCTCCTCCTGGGTCTGTGCCCCAGGCTGCAGGTGGGGCCTCTCACCTCCACCTTCCTCCGGGGACCGGATGCCCGGTGTCCCCCTCAGCCAAGCATGTCTCTGCCATGGGAACCGACCCGACGGGCCAGTCCCAAGCCTTCGCCCCCGCGACCTCTAAGGCCTCCTCCGTGCCCACCTGAGGGCTCTCCCACTCCCTGGGGGTTTCCACCTGGGGCAGCGCGGCCCGGCCTGTGTTCAACGACTGTGCGTGTGCTTGCGTGTGCGTCTCTGCCTCGATGCCCGCACCTCCCTGCACGCCTGTTCTCATGCTACACGTCCCTGCTCCCCTGCCACCCCACGCCCCCAGTTATCCCCACACCCCTCGCATCCCCACCCCCGCGTGACGGTTTCAGACCGCTGGGTTGAATCAGAACCTGCCGCACCCACCGCGGGCTGCGGAACAGCATCCGCCCCTCCAAGCCTCGCTTCTGCCAACTGGAGAAAGGGGGGAGGGGTGACACTTATCTCGGCAGGATCCCAGCGAAGATCAAAGGAGAAAGGCCGCTTGAGCCTTGGTGCATAATAGATGCACCTGCTGAGCCTTGGTGCATAATCGATGCACCTGCTGGCGGCCTCCACCAGACCAGAAGTGGGCTCCCCACTGAGCACGGGGTGGAAACCAAACACCTGTGGACAGGCCACGCCAGCAGCCGGCCTTTGCGGAGACAGTCCACGCGTATCAGCTGGGATTTACTGACTCCTACCACGAGCCGAGCCAGGAGCCCACCTCTCTATCCTAGACACCTCTTTGGGTGGGTGCTGTTATTATGCCCATTAACAGATGAGGAAACTGAGGCACTGAGAGTCTGGTGACTTGTCTGAGTTGGTAAGTGGCTGAGCCAGGACTTAAACTAGGCAGCTGGGCTCCAGGCTGACCCCACGCTGTCCCTGAGGGGGACAGAGGAGGAGCCCAGCCCCACCTGCCGTAGGCCCAGGGCCCGGGAAGCTCTCGGGGAACTGGCATCTCACACCCACATCACCCTGGTGACAACCCCCCGTGGCCACACAGCGGTGGCTGGGAAGGTTTAAGGCTCGAGGAGGAGGAGCAGGCTCGGCTTCTGTGGGGGCCGCAGGGATGAAACTGAGGGTCCCCACAGCTGTGTTCAGGGGGTGGAAACGTGGCCCCCGATGAGGGGGCGCACGACAGGACGGAACCCCAACCGTGCCCAAAGGGGCACCTGGGTGCCGGCGCCCACACTTCGGCTCCCGCAGAGCTGCACACACGACTGGGTGCACAGGGCAGTGGTCAGAGGCCCACGCGTGCTCTGCCGTGGGTCCCGAGACCACAGCTGTTGTCACCCCGGTGTCACCAACAGCCACACGCACAGCTGCCTCCCACCAGCGAAGACAGCCAGCGACTGTGAGTCCACAGACGTTCTCTGAGGGCCCGACGGGTGCCGGGTATCGTGCCCAGGACAGGGGACAACCCCAAATCCCTACCCACAAAGAGGTCTCACGGGCAATGAGGACGCAGCCCCAGGCCGCCGCACGCTGGCGACCCGGAGCTCATCTCTGAGCCTTCTCGGGCCACGTTACCTCCCCGCGTCCCCCTCCTTCCTCTGCTCCGTACAGAATCGGAATCACTGCCGATGCTCCTTCACCCCGAGAGGCCTGGGGGTCCCTGTCACCCCCAGAGATGGGGGCCCAGGGAGGGGGACCCGCTGGCACCGATTCCAGCCCAGGCCGGTGCACCTGCCTCCTGCGCCCCGAAGCCTCCAATCCCACCCCCGAGGGCCCTGGGGGGCAGGCACAGTGACGCCCCAGGATGAGGCGGGTGCCGGGACCGGGCCGGAGCTGCCATCCCGAACTCCAGCCTGTGCGGGAGAGGAGCCGGAGGCGTTGGGGACTGAGGGCCCTGGAGGCAGGTGACAGGTCCTCCCTCTGCTGCCTACTTTCCCCAGCACGGGTGGGCGCGGTACTTGATGCGCATTTTCTCAATGAAGGAACAAACAGCACTCCCTAACTCTTTAAAAACGTTTGTCACTGACATCTCCTCCCTGGCTTTTCCAAAAGCCCAAGAAAGCAGACAGAACAAGTGTTACCAGCCCACTTTACAGATGAGGAAACTGAGGCCAGGACAGGCAACATGCCTTGGTTAAAGTCCACAGAGAGTTGCCTTGGACCCAATAACGACTAAGGTAATTAGAATAAGGTGTGAACTTTTTTTTTTTTTGTTGTTATTCTATTCCTCTCCGATGTGGGGCTCGGATGGCCCTCCCTAAACTCCCTCATTCTCAAGCCCTTCCTCCTGCAGGCGCGGCCTTCCCAGGAGTCGGGAGGAGCAGAGCCGGGAATTCCTTGGCGGCAATGCGCTGCTCACACTGTCAGGGCTCTGCGGGAGAGCCTCGGTGCTTTCATACAGCTGGGCAACCCCGGCAAGTCACTTAACCTCTCTGGGCCCCTATAACACGGACAAAACGGGGCAACAGGACCGAGTGCAACAGGTCACTAGGAGCAGGAAGCGCCCCGCGGCCTACAAAGGGCCTGGCGTGAGGCTGGGGCTTCCTCTGAAGGAAGGTCTCTGGCCCAGCCGGCTGCATGCAGGCACCGAGCACGTCCCACGGGCGGGGCACCGCCCCGGGCATCACAGATGTCACCTCCCTGAATCCTCACGGCACTGCTACTGAGTAGGAACTATTAGGAGCCCATTTTACAGACAGGGAAACTGAGGCACGGACCAGCACCAGGATTTGGCTTTCTAGCTCTTCTTGACCTTTAGGTTCAAGGCTGCTCATGTCCCCTATCCCGATCCCTTCCCCCATGAAGAACAGGACAGAAAGAGCTGGGTCCCCACTCGGTGGGCAGCCTGGGAGGGCAACTCACCATTTTTGTCCGCGCGGCGGAAAATCTGCGGAAAAGAGAGATCGAGTCAGCCCTGGGCCAGGGAGGGGCAGGCACCTTCCAGCGGCTTCTGACGGGAAGTGAGGTCCCTCTCCTCCCCCCGCCGAGCAGCTCAGCAGGGGGGAAAGCTGAGCCCCCAGCTTCTCTCTCTCCACGAGGAGCCCCGGGGCTGGGACCCAGGGGCGGGAGGGAGGCTTCAGGCAGAGACCCTCTCTGCTGTCCTCCGCAGAAGCAGCCGCCCCCTCTCGCTCCTGTGTGTGCCACCAGCCTGCGATGGCCACGCCGGCAGACACGCACGCTCGCGGCCACACACACACCTGCAGGCGCACGGCCACGGCCGAACGCTCAGTCGCACACAATCGCGCTCAGAACCGCCGTCCCGGGACGGCCAGAGCCTCCACCACCGCACTCCTCCCGGAACCTCGGCTCTGCCCAGGGAGGCTGGGTTACGTCTGAACGGAGGTGCCTGCCAGGCTTGGGGACAGGGCCAGCCACGGTGGGACCACATTATTTTTGGGGTGGGGGAGAAGCGGGCCACCGAGAGCGCAGAAGACGAGCTGCAGACGAGGTTGGGACTGCGTCCGGCCGGCATGGCGGGGCGGCTCGATGCACGCCAGCCTCAACTGCGAGACCAGCAGCCTCCTCCTCTGGCCTTTCTAGTGGCCTCCGAATACCTGGGACAGAGCAGCTCCACATCCCTCCATGTCAGGCTGCAGTGGTAGCGTGGCAGTTCCTCCCTTCCCAGCCTGTGACTGTCACTGTCTGGGGAGCTTTGAGAGCCCCTCAGCCCAGGCCACACCGCAGAGCAACTAGGCTTCTGGGGCAGACCCAGGTGTCAGCGTTCTTAAAGCGTCCCGGGCACACTCAGGGTCGACACCTGTGCGCTGAGAACCTGCTCCTCACGGAAGTGAGGTTCAGGGTCCTGAAGGAGCTTGTTTCAAATGCACAATGTCCGACCTGCCCGGGCCCACTGAGTCACACCCTGGCGTGCAGCCAGATCCTGGGGGGATTCACGCACCAGTATATTAACTAATGTCTGAGAATGTTCCCAGGCTATGGGGTGGCTCTCACCGTCTAACTGGCTAATCTTAGCAGGGAGGACACAGAGACCTAGGAAGGGGCAGCAACAAGCTCAGCTCCCCCCAGTGTTTTCCCAGACACCAGGGAGGTCGCACTGGGACCAGGTAAGCCATGTACGAGGTACCAGTCCCTCTGACCAGCCCACCCTGCTCCTCGCCCTGGGGCAAAGGGCCAATGCCTGTCTCCACCTCCATCCCCCAAGCTGAGCCAGGGCTTCCTGGGCCACCCATCGTCAGGCACCGGGCTGTGTCGGACCGAAGCAGCAGCTCGGGGAGGGCCTCCCAAACATCACCCCTCTTGGCTGCACCAGCAGGGGCGGCAGTCATCAGACCCTAGGCCCTGCTGCAAGACCCCCACGCCCTGCTCCTGACTGGGCGAGGCCCCTCGAGGCTGGGGATCCCCAGGTGCTCCCTGAGGCCTGGCACGGGCAGGTGCCTGCTCTGGGCGTGAATGTGAAGCAAATGAATGACACGGCACAGCTGACACCTGGTGATGTCAGCTCCAGGAGTCTGCAGAGCACCCCACCCCGGCTCACCACCCCAACTTCGCAATGAGGAGATGAGGCTCGGAGCCCACACGGCCAGCACGAGGAGGAGGACGGCAGAGCCCACCTCCATCGCTGCCAGAGGGGAGGAGGCAGGAGGGGTCTGGGCAGCTTCCCTGCAGGGCGGCCTGGGTCTGCCAGCTCAGCCTGGAACTTCCAGAGGGATCTCTGCTGGGGTCCCAAGAAGGAGAGTGCAGCTGGGCAGGCATGTGCGCGGCGGCGTGTGTGAGTGCACACGTGAGTGTGAGTGTGCGCGCACGAGTGTGTCTGGAGTACTGGTGCTGCTCTTGCCCTGCCCTACTCAGCCCTCCCTGTCCAGCCCCAGCTGGGATCCAGGAGTTGGGAAAAGAAGGAGCGAGGAAGAGGGGAATCCTGGCTCCCCCTCACAGGGATGCGGGGTACACACGTGTACACACTCACACACACTCGCAGAAACACACCCACGACGCTCCTGCAACACACGCGCAAAACACCCCCCAGCCCCACACCCCCCAGGCCCCGCACCGGGACACGCACATGCACACCCCCGCAAAGCCCCCTCCTCCTCCTCCTCCAGTGCTCCCTAGAAGTCCCCTCCCCAAGCCACCCACCCTGAAGATTCCTCCCTCAGGGGAGGGCTGGGTGGCAGGGTCAGGTGGGCTTCCCGGAGGTGGGTGGTTTGGGTTCCGGAGGAGCTGGGAGGGGTGAGGGGGCTTCA